CCTGTTTAACCATGTGGGTCTCCTGGCTCTCCTTCATGATTTCCTACCTGTTGGGATGCTCTGATCTTGAGCTTGGAAGAAGTGGTCCTTGAATATAAACCAACTATCTTGGGCCTATGTTTGGAATACTGTTGTTCCATGATGTTCCGTTATTTTAACTACTTGATTAATTTTAGCTTACTTACATTTCTTAATAAGATTAAAACCAAAATAGTGATTACTGATTCAGGCTCACATTTAATTTAATTTAATTTAATTTGTCACTTTTTACAACCATTACAAGACAATCAATAGAAACTGCATTTAAGCCATTTTTAGGAGTGTGGTTTGCAAGGAATCTGGGTGATACCACTATTAGTTTTGCCCCTGCTCTGGATGCATCACCTCTTGCATTAGGAGTAGTCAGCTTTCATGATGATTCCCTGGGGTGTTTGTTGAAATAACTTTCTGCAATGGGATTTTTCATCCCCTTGGTGGAATTGCATTCAGTTGCCTGCTTGCTTCTTTTAGATATATGATATATTATGATATTATGATATATTATTTCTTTAAGATATATTTCTTTTAAATCTGTCTCCACTAGCTTATTCTTACGAAATGTCTGCAGTTGCTGTGGCCCAAATTTTATGCTTCCCAACTTCAGGCAAATATCTGAGACCCCTAAGTAAAGAGTCAGTTAATCCAACATTGACATTATAATCAGTGCAGAGAAATTAGCACCTCCTGAGGCTGATGCAGCACCCCTGAGACTTGTACTGCTCTCTGAAAGTGTTTATATTTTCAGTGAGTGTGAAAAGAGCCTTCCCCAGCTGTAGCGCTCCTTGGTTTAATGTCTGTGGAGATGAGATCCTGCAGTCAGACCTGAGAGCCAGACACCTGCCCCCTGCTTTGCTGCGAACAACGAAGGAGGCAAACAAGCATCTGGGCCATCAGAAAGCCTGATTTTGGCTGAAGAGGCTACCACCTAGTGGCCTGCTTTCCGTAGTGAAAGAGGGCAGAACCCCTGTCTGCTCTTGCTTGGCCGTGCACTCCCTGGCCAGTCACTAATTGGGCACAAAGAGCTGCTAGGGAAGCTTATTGTCTGCTCTTCTTGGTATCTGAATGTCTTTGTGTTTGGATCAAGGGAGTTAGTAGCAAATCTGCCTGGCTTTGACCATTCTATGTGATTTCCTTCCTGGTGAGAACAGGGCATCTACTTCCCTGCTTATAGTAACATAATGAAGGATGTTGCACATTCATCAAGACTCGTTGAATCTTTCTATCCCTTATAGAATACATATTGCTGAAATTACTCCAGAAAAAGACACTGCAAAACAAATTATATACCTGTTTCTAGTATATAAATCGTTGTGCTGAAGCTGAAACTGTTTCTTCCCCTTGGTGTTAAATTTGTATGTTGTTATGGAGTAAATGCCTATCACTGTATAGTTGGTTCATTTCTTTTGTGTAGTATTTTAATTTTTTCTAGCAATATATCATTTTTATAGTGCAATTAGTTTTTAGGTGCTGAAGTGTGCGCAGTGTAAGACAGGGGGCAGTATAGCATTTAAAGTATTGTAGTGGTTTGACGTTAAAAGTAGCAGTTTAATTAGATATTGAATGTAGAGCAAATTTATTAACTGCATGAACTGAAATCTGGAATTACTCTTCTGAATACATTGCTGTTACAGTCTCCTGCAAATCAGCAGCTCTGATTTTGTTCAGCTTTGTTAGTGATCTGTAAGTGATCTGTGATCTATTTGCAGAAGGTTTAAATATGTCAACACTCTTACTTATGTTTTAATATAAAAATACTTTTGTTAAACTATTAATGAAGAATGCTAAACATAGAGTTGTTATTTTAACTGTGTTTATGAGAACATTTTCTTTTAATTTGCTGCTGTATTTTGCTGCTGCAGAGTAAAGGAATTTGGAATTAGTCCTTCAGACATTCCCTTCTCACAGGGTAGTGGCAGTCGCTCTGATCTCTCTCCTTCCTATGAGTATGATGACTTTTCTCCTTCAGTCACCAGGTCTAGTTCATTCTATACATGAAAACTTTATTTTTAAGTTTTCTTTTATGGCAATGTAATTTTACAGACCAACCTTTCATTAATCCCCTTGCCTTGAGCCACACATACTTTGTTTTTATTTTGTTTGGTAGGTGATGATTCTGCATGATCTGCACTCATCTTCCCACTATTTTATTCACCCTCCTTAAACAACCACATACTGTATCCAAACTTGCTAGTTTCCTTCATACATTATTAAAAAATGGTGATGTCACCTTTGTATATTTAGTGGACCAAATCTGACAAGTCTGTGTTTAGGGTAATTTGAATATGTTTAATTAAAAAAAGAAAACAATGTTAATGTGTATCTATTTTTAAAACTTTTCATCACTCCAAAGATGAATGAAATACAGTTTCCATTGTAGTAAATATGTGCTACTTGAAAAAAAAAAGTCCTTAAAAATGAAGAATTTGTTCTAAAACTTGCTATATTTGCAGGCTTTGGTGTGTCTGTTTAATAAATGTTCTTTTAAATGGGCTTTTTGTGACAGATCTGTTATAAATTTTTTAAACTATTTTCATGCTGCAAGAACATCTTTTAATAAGATATTTTCACCTTTTAAATTATTTTAATTAAAGGATCTATTCATTCTCTGGGATACTTAGTTGCAAATTATTTTCTTCAGAATTCTTGGTGGATTTGCTTATAACAGCTAGTGGAGTACTAATTTTTTTAAAGCACAATTGTGTGCACAGAAAAAAAATGATGGTCAGGTTTAGGGTGCTGAATGAACTTTTCTTTCAAATATTATTCATTGTTAAGGAGTTAATATTGAGGGTTTGGATATTTTTGCCCTTTAAACAGTTTATGAGTAGTAAGATTTCAGTCAAAAAATGCCTCTTGCTAGAAGATAGACTGTAATCCACCTGCAAGTAGTTGAAATCCAGTGGTCCATGCTTTTTAGGAGTTGGTCTAACATCTTTTTGTCATTGAAAGTACATTAAGTTTGTGAAGCTGACATCATCATCCTTATTAAATGATTTAAATTGCACATAAACTCAGAGAGCTTTATTTTTGGTTGTGACTCTTTTGCACAGGAGGTTACTAATTTACAAATTAAATATTTTCTGATTGTAGGGTGAAGGAGCTGATGGTTGATCCTAGTGCTGCAGGAGATATCCATCCCATTATACACCATGCTCCCAATCAGATCGATGACTTAGAGACACAGTGGAGTGTGGGGAGCTCTCCTCAGAGAGATGATCTCAAACTGCTTTGTGAACAAAATGTGAGTGGTTTACAGCATTACATGGAGAAAGATGATGATAAATACAGTGGCAGAACAAATCCAGAGTAATGTGTATTTATAGCCTGCTAGCAATGTCATTAAGTAGATACAGCATGCCCCTTCTCCTTTTCACTTTATGGTGTTATGTTCATTCCCATACACAAAAAAAAAAGGTTCCTTGAAGGATGAGAGGAGAATGTTTTACTTTTCATCTTCCCTGCTGATTAGGGCTTTTAATGTCTAGGCAGGGTCTGCTCTAGACTCTCACTTTTTTTGGTGTGCATTTTTTCCAGTATCTTCATCTCTTATTAGGTAGTTAGAAGTAGCCTGGGAAATGCTTTCATTTTATTTAATACTCCCGTGCTTTTGACCATTACTTTCCCTGCATGCAACATCTGTTTCAAGTGAGTTTGCCTTTCTGTGTGTACCCTAGCTACCCATCATTCCTCCTCTCACCATCATTATTTTCATGGAGTGAAACCCCCGAGCAATGTCTGAGAGAGAGCCACATCATGTTCCCAGAATGTGTCTCTGGGCTGCATGAGTGAAGAGCTGGGACTGAAAGGCATCTTCTAAATTTAACTCTGAACATTTTGAATTTATTGCCCTCTCCACTCATTTCTGGATATTTTCTTGTTAGAAGTATTAAGTTCTATTTTTGACAGGTTCTGCTTTCTGCATATTTCTTTTCATGCTTTGTGATGGATCACATTCAATATATTTCCTGTAGCCACAGTTCTTTCCAGGCTAACAAGCTTAACTATTGTTTTTAGGAAGAGGAAGTTTCTCCACAGTTGTTTACTTTCCATGAAGCTGTTTCACAAATGGTGGAAATGGAAGAGCAAGTAGTAGAAGACCACAGGGCTGTCTTCCAGGTAAAAGATGGAGCTCTACTTTGTTTTATCCTAATCCAGGAATTCAGGTCTTCCCGATGAAAGTGCATACTCTTGAAGGTGTAGAATATCATCTGGTCATTCTGCTGCTGTCAGAGATTTCTAAATTGTTTTATTATGCTAAGCCCATTGTAGCAAACAAAAAGGAACAGGTGTTTAGATCCCATAACTATTAATCTTTGTCCCACATGATGAAAGAGAAGCATATTTTTCTACCATCCCAGAAATTTAATAAGTTTTTCCTTTTCTTCTCAACAAACATTCCTAAGTAGACTGCGTTCATTGTAAGAAAAGTTTCTATTTTCTTTTTACTATTTTAACTATTTACTATACTTTCTGTGTTAGTCCTTTTCCAGCATTAATAACTGTTTTTTCTAGTTGTAGGGAGCTTACTCAGATTGGTCTTGAAATTTTCAATTTCACTGTCTAATCTATGCCAATATTCCTATGCCAAAGCTGACAATTAATAGTAATGTCTCTATCAGCATCATTTCTGTTTAAGCATCTCCCTAAAAGATACTGCGATACTCTTTCCAAGTATCTCCTTAAATATCCTTCTGTGACATCTTCCTCTGATATACCGAGATCTAGAAGAAACAAATATATTCCTAACTGTCTTTTTGCTTCTTTTTTACAGATACAAAAAGGTTTTCACTTGCTATTAGTCAGGGTCTTTAGAAGGAATACTGCCCACACAGTGTAATGCTGGTCAGTGCCACAGAGCCTTTTACATTCACAAAATAAATTGTAATAAGTATGAGTTTCATTTTTCAGAAGGTAATATGAGTTGCTCCTGTTCATAACCTTAGAGTCTTTAGGTAGGCTGTCCATTTGGCACATCTGCTGCAAGAAAACAGCAAAACATTAAGCCTGTGGAGAATACACATATCTCCTCAATTTAGGTATCTTAGTGGAACATTGATGTGTGTTCATGTAATACAGTAGGATGCTAAATAACACATTTTACAGGAGATGTAGAAATTTAGTTATTATGAAACATTAGCTCTGAAATAAAACATGCGGAAGTGTGAAAGTCATGCCGTATACCATAGCTGTGCCCTAATGCTTGTGACTTCTGGAGAGACAGGCTGCATTTTTTTAAGATGTTACTGCCTCTGTGTGTCCAATTGGCCTTATGCTGGAGATTACTGCTCCTCACAGCAGACATTAGAAGGAAATGTGTCTGAGCCTCAGCTCACTTCATTCACAGCATGCCATGGGTGGAGATGGGCTGCATCAATAAAACTACAAGCTGTAACTCACAGAAGTTGTCTTTTGTCAGCTTTCTCCTGGAAGCTGTTGATTCTGGGATACAAAACATCCTATCCTAACAAAAATGTCTAAAATAGATCAACTGAATGAATCATGCTCTAGAGGTGTTGGTCTTCCTTTGTTTCTTGAATATACGAGTTTACACTAGATGAGATGAATCCTGTCCCAATGTGAGCTCCATCTGTCCTGAAAGCCAACAAAACATACATGGGGTTTGGACTATGCTTTCAATATTACTTGGACTACTGAGCACAGAGGGAAAGAATTAATTTTAGTATTTCAAGTCCAGCATGCCTAGAACTGTCAGCTGCTTTCTTTTTTTTTTTTAATCAAAACATTTCCAATGGGATCAGTTCTTCTGATCACAGCTTTGCATGGTTCTGTAAGCTTTAAGCTTCTGGTTGCATTCTTCTTTGCAGCAAGACTTTTTTTCTTCTCCCCTCCCCTTTTTAAATATTTGGAGTGCAAAGATGCCCAAGAGCTGCTTTAACCAACTTCTACAGTACTCTTATCTGTCTAGGGAGTTAGCTCATGCAACAGAGAGCTTAAAATAGCTCTTCTTTTATAAAGCTTCTCTCAAAAGTGATTATGAGTATGAACAGAATTATCTTGGCTCCTTGACTGTAGTAATGACACTGTGATTATGGTCAGTGGCAACCAGCCCATATTTAAAATTGAAGCCTGACTTCAAAGTTTGATACCTACCTAAGGGGACTTAACCATGATATGAAGTTCTGAGTCTCTTAGCTTTACAGCCACCTAATGTTCTGAATTTGAAGAGAACTTGGGTAGCTGGGGTTTATCTGTTGCTGGTATGATCATTGGAGTTAAGAAACTATGTAGGAAACATACAATTTTGCTGAATTAACAATAAGGTTTCATTTTAGGATTGAAATCTGTTATAATCTGTTATATCTGTTATATATCTGTGACTAAGTAAAAGTGTGGTCTTCTTGAGAAAAGGAGCAATTCAGCTCTCTGTCTTGAAAATTTGCTAAAATATTTAGTTGTTTTTTTTAACTTTTATCTAGGAATCAATTAGATGGCTGGAAGATGAAAAAGCTCTTCTTGAGATTACAGAAGAAGTAGACTATGATGTGGATTCTTACGCTACCCAACTTGAAGCAATTCTAGAGCAAAAAATTGGTATTCTGACCGAACTTAGAGGTAGATTGCTTTTAATCACTTTTGCGTGCATTATTAGCAGTGTGTTTTCATATGCCATGGAGACCTGAATTAATAATTAGGAGGGAAAAAAAGAGTGTGTTTATGTTTTAGGATCTTTTTCCCCTTATGCTGCCCTGCAATGTCCAGTGGAAAAAACATTTATTCTGTTGCTTAAGAACAAGATCACATCTGTGCTCAGTTCATCCTAGTTTAAAAGAAAAATCTCTGCTTTATCTCCAGGAAGTATAAACTCAATCCTGAAATTTTCCTTTTCTTTTCCTTTGTTCTAAAACAATAAAGGAAGGAAAAAGTAAGTCCAAATGAATTGTACGAAAAAAGAAGGTAATGCAATAAGGCAAAAGTAGTAGGAACTCCCAGTTCTTGCTCTGTTGCATTCTGTAGTGTAGCAGGAAGCCTCTTGTCATTTTTAAGACTGTACTTAATAGTGGCACTGAGCTCTGAGCTTGATTGTTAGCTTATTTTTTTTTAGCAGCTTTTCTGTCTGAATTTTGTCAGCCTCTCTTTGTTGAAAAACAAACTGCAGACAATTCTTAGTGCCCAAAACTGACTCTTCCACTTGTCTTCTAAAATCAACTTGTCAGCTTGGTACCTCATGAAGATGAATTTTTCATTTTAGTTTCTGTAACTATTTGGACTCCAAGAGACATGCTATACTGGCAAAAATTCAAGGGTAGGGATGGGGAATGAGGGGTGTGGGTGGGCTGGTTTTTTAATATGTGTTAGAAAACTCCTTATAAGATAAAAATCTTGTTTTTTACTCAGTCTGAGTATCTGCTATAAGTTAGAAGAATGCATCAAGCAAATCAGATGTGGCTTGCTGGCCTTGTAAGCATGCATTGGCACCAGTATATTTTAGCAAAGAATTGGAGGTACATTCCTTTGCTTTTTATGGATGATGGCTTCTTCAGAAGAAGACAATTTGAGACACCAGCAGTGAAAAAACACATTTTAGGTGACTCCTTGTTTTTTGAATACTAATTAGATACTGCTTTTGAAACAAGGTACTGGAAGTAAAGGCTATCTAAGAGAGCTTTGCATCTTTACAGAACGCATGAAACATGTATAGCTTTACAGGAGGGAAGAACTGTTAAGTCAAAAGTTCTTTCTCCCAGTAACTTCTGTGTTCTGCCAATAGCACATAATGGTCACTGAATATTTCAGCTTTTATTCCTGTCACTCTGGGACTGACATGCCCGACATTGGCAAATGTGACACCCATTTACAAGAAGGGCCGGAGGGAGGATCTGGGGAACTACAGGCCTGTCAGTCTGACCTTGATGCTGGGGAAGGTCATGGAGCAGATCATCTTGAGTGCCATCACACGGCACGTCCAGGACAACCAGAATCAGGCCCAGTCAGCATGGGTTTATGAAAGGCAGATTATGCTTGACTAACCTGATCTTCTATGACCAGGTGACCGACTTAGTGGATGAGGGAAAGGCTATGGAAGTAGTATACCTGGACTTTAGTTATGCCTTTGACACCATCTCCCACAGCATTCTGCTGGAAAAACTGGCTACCCATGGCCTGGACAGGCATGCTCTTAACTGGGTAAAAAACTGACTGCATGACTGAGCCCAAAGAGAGGTGGTGAATGGAGTTAAATCCAATTGGAGGCCGGTCACAAATGATGTTCCTCAGGGCTCAATGCTGAGGCCAGTTCTGTTTAATATCTTTATTAACAACCTGGACAAGGGGATTGAGTATACTCTCAGTAAGTTTGCAGATGACACTAAGCAGGGAGGAAGTGTTGATCTCCTTGAGGGTAGGAAGACACTACAGAGGGGGCTGGATTGATGGTCTCTGGCCAATTGTATGAGGTTCAGCAAGGCCAAGTGCCAGGTCCTGCACTTGGGTCACAACAACCCCATGCAATGCTACAGGCTTGGGGATGAGTGTCTAGAAAGCTACATAGCAGAGAGGGATCTAGGGATACTGGTTGACAGCAAACTGAACATGAGCCAGCAGTGCGCCCAGGTGGCCAAGAAGGCCAACAGTATCCTGGCTTGTATCAGAAATAGTGTGACCAGCAAGAGTAGGGAAGTAATCCTTCCCCTGTACTCGACACTGATGAGGCTGCACCTCGAATCCTGTGTTCAGTTTTGGGCCCCTCACTACAAGGACATTGAGGCACTGGAGTGTGTCCAGAGAAGAGTAACGAAGCTGGTGAGTGGTCTGGAGCACAAGTCTTATGAGGCCTTATGGCTGGGGGAACTGGGATTATTTAGTCTGGAGAAGAGGAGGCTGAGGGAAGACCTTATTGTAATCTACAAGTGCCTGAAAAAAGGTTGTAGAGAGGTGGAGGTTGGTCTCAGTTTCTCTGAGGAAATGGCCTCAGGTTGAACCAAGTGAGGTTTACATTGGATATTAGGAAAAATTTCCTCACCAAAAGGGTCATCAGACATTGAAACGGGCTGCCCAGGGAAGTGGTGTAGTCACCATCCCTGGAGGTATTTAAAAGACGTGTAGATGTGGTGCTTGGG